CACTGAGGGACCTGGATCACATGACCCACATCATCTGCCAATTCCGTCGGCGAAGCCAGCCAGCTTCGTCGCGCGGGCCCCAATCATCGCGGCACTGTAAACTTCACATTCAGTAATCGGCCAATGGGTGGTACGGCGCACGGCGCTGTGGGCTCCGCGAGCAGCCGCCAGGGAGCCGGATGCCCAAGGCAATGTCGATGACAGCCCCCGCCGCTCCGCGAGGTCCAGCGGCAGCGAGTGACCCATATAGCAGAGCGGAACGCCCAGTGGAAGCGAACGCACCTGGATTCGCGCAATAGAGAATCAGCGGCACCCACGCATCCAAAGGCTTCAAATGGCCGACAAGGCCCACGAGCAGGGGCGCTTCTGCATCTGGGAAGAGATCGCAGCCCAGTTCATCATGTCAACCAAATCACCACGGCATGAGAAACAGATCTTCTGCATACGCCCACGAAGAAACTCGCGCAGAGGGTCAACTTTCACAGCCACCTCTCGCAGAGCACGATGAATCACTTGCTGCGGCCGCAAGCGAGCCCCAAGACGGACCTCCAACGCAGACTCGAGCGCCCGACGTGCACTGCCCATGTAGGCGCACTCCCAGCAGGCGCACTTCCCGCGGCCCAGCAGGCGCACTTCCAGATAAGGCGCGCTCCAAGTTCTCAACAATTGCGGGGCTCTCCCAGAAAGAATTGTAAAATCGGCCTCCTGGGGGCCTGTCAAGTGCCCCGGAGTCCGCGCATGATATCACGCGAGCACATAGGCTTTCGCCGCCCGCATAAGCGAGGCGATGTCGAGATGAGCCCATCTTGTGACTTTGGGGTCCTGACACAGATCCAGCCGCACCTGGGCATTCAATGTGAGGGCGCCCAGACCGGCGCGATAAACCTGCACGAGATCTCCCACTTCAGTGTCTAAGACATATTTTGGCATCGAGAAGAATTGTCACATGTGCGGAACTGTGGTAACAATGCGCGATTTGTAAATGATGGACGTCACGCTGGCAGGGGCAACTCCGCGTCCATCGGCTCGGGGCGAACTTTCTCTGGAAGGGCCCTCCAGGGTCTCAACAGGTCGACGGCAGGGCCCAACCAGACACCGATGCACAAGGGCTCAGGAACAACCTGCATAGACGCCCACTGGGAGCCAACCGAAACAGGACCTCCGAGGCGCGCGGGGAGAGACTCGGGCAGAAGGGGCCAGGAAGATGCACGACATGGCACTTCGGGATCTTAAGAACCAAATTGGCGAGCAACTCCGCAACCCTCACGACGAGGGCGACCAAGGCCATGTCGCCCGCACTTCCCAATGCCCCGTCGATGTCGTCAGCGCTAGCCTTTGCCAGCCCACGAGCAGCCTTTTCAATGATGTCCAATGGGGGGCGCAGGAACGGGGAGGGGGCGATGGCGCAGGGTGAACTAGAGAGCGCGACCCTGGTAAATGCCGCTGCGAACTGGATGCAGGTGGGCTCTGAGCCCCAGAGCGATCGCGACCCTCTCAATGCCCTGGTAGAGGAATTTCACTGACGAGAGGGGCGCATCAGGCAAGCGCAGGGCACTCCAGACAAAAAAAACAACAACTCTTGGTCCAGGGGCAAGGGGCCTGGCCGCAATACAGACGATAGAGTATGGGCGCGGCCAGCGAGGTGCACGCGATAGCTGCCGACTCGAGACGTCGAGCTCCCCGATATTGAAGCCGAAATTGCGTTGGGGGGCGACGCCGCGCTGACGAGGGGGCGCGAATGCTTCGACGGCGGAGCCGATGGCCGCGTTCTCCGTGACGGGCAGGGTTTTCAAATCACAGTTGCGCGGACCAAGCGCGCGAACTTTGTCAACGAAGCGTTCGGCCTGACCAGCCCGCGCCTCATCGTCGCCGACGGACTTGCGGGGAAACGCCTGAAGAGCGAGGCTCGCAAATTCGAAGATGGCTTGGCCGCCCATGATCCACTCGACGCGCCCCCGCAGAATAGAGACCCCGAAGGGGTCAGAGCGCCAGGTCGAGCAGGACAGCCCACCACATCCCGTCGCAGCGTCTTTGGCCCTCGCGACGGCCTTTCGCCTCAGCTCGGGGGTCGGCGGAAGCAAGATCAAGTCGCCGATGTCGGGGGGGGGCGCTGCGTCGCGCGCGATTCGGCAAGTTCCGGGCGCCGAGACTTTCTGGAAAACGCAGGGCCCCAGTCGCGCTTCAAAAACTTAAGCTTTTCCGACGGGTCGAACGCGGCCTTGCCCGCGTCGTCGGTCGCCGCCGCCCGGCGCGCGCTGCGATTGAGGAGGGGCCGCGAACTGGCGCGCTGCAAGCGCCCTTTCTTGGGCCCTCAGACATCCACTCTCACCCTCTGCGTTCGAGAAGCCCCTGGAGCTCAGCGCGGGCGCGCTCCGCGGCCTCGCGCTGGAGGTGATCCGACCGCGCGCGGAAGGGCCCGGGGTGGATGAGCAAGACCTTCGAACCGACAACTTGGATAAAGTCGTAGGCGATGGGGCAGGGCTCGATCAATCTCCACGCCAATGACACACCTCGGCGCCAAATCGCACGAGCCAGTGAACGAGCGAGCTGCAGCAAAGTGGAAGGACGGTGCGGACGATGACGGAACATCAGATCACGAGCCCCCCCAGCAGCTCCCTCATGCCGATCCAGTCTTCGAGCGCAATCATCGCCTGGAGCCGCTCCTGGTGAAGTTCACACAGGGATGTTTGGCGAGCGGGCCGAGGGGGGCGAGCGGGCCGAGGGGTGATGGCGCAGGCCGCCGCTGCATGATCCGAGATAAGCGGATCCGGCACCTGCGCGGGAAGAGTGAACTGCGGCGGTCTGGAAGCGATGCTGACGTACTCGCCGACCAGGGAGAGACGCCAGAATGCGAACGATAAGCGATTCCGAATTGGTATGTTCTCATAGCGCGAGCGCATGCCGCACTCGATCTCGACGGGATGCGACAGGACACGACGCCAGCGCGAGGCTCGCGCATGGCGCTGCCTCGCGGCGCGACGCGCCGCCGCCATCGGCACGTGGAGCAGCGCCGCCTCATCCGCCGCGAACGTGTGGTCCCCGAGCCACTGTGGCGATCCTCTGAGACGAGGCTCGAGCGGCAGCAGACTTGGCAGCGACGATCACCCGCTCGACCTCGCCCACCTCTGCTCTGGAAAGGTGCGCCTCATCACATCTCGCGATGACATGCAAAACGCGCCCAGGTACAAGAGCCACCGCAGGACTCCGCGCGCGATCTCCAGCCACCTGGCATAACTCAGAAGAGTAGCCACGCCACAACGCATGCGATCCTCATCGGACTCACCACAAAAACGTCGTATGTTTCGTCACGCGAGAACCCAAGGGCCGTAATAATGCAAGTCGTTGCAGCTCGTCCTGACGAGCTCCACCCAAGCGCACGATCGAGGAGGCTTGCTGCAGCCTGATCAAGCACTCGAACTCCGCCGATCCAAGATTCCCATAACCTTGCCGGAGAGCCCCAACATTCCAGGTCACTACGCGCAGTGACGGGGAAGGGAAGGGGCCTGCGGCGAAGGTGCCGAGCATATGAATAACTTCCAGACGTCCAAAACACCGCGCGGCAAAAACGAAGCACCAGTGCCCTCGGACGAGTCTCCGCCAAGCATAAGGGCTTCCTGAAATCCAACATCTGATCACGCATGGCGGCCAGCTCCCCCCATCTTGGAGACACGCGCGCAAGTACTCCGGATCTGCTTGTGCTGATCGTCGAGCTCGGACTGCAAACGCCGAGCTGCTGCATCCACCTGGGACCTCGCGGGGGAACAGCAGGGGGATGTGGTATTTTTGTTTCCCAGGGGGGTAGGAGGAGGAGGAGGAGGAGGAGGAGGAGGAGGAGGAGGAGGAGGAGGAGGAGGAGGAGGAGGAGGAGGAGGAGGAGGGGGGAGGAGGAGGAGGAGGGGTAGGAGGAGGGGAGGAGGGGGGAGGGGGGGGAGGAGGAGGAGGAGGAGGAGGAGGAGGAGGAGAAGGAGAAGGAGGAGGAGGAGGAGGAGGAGAAGGAGGTCGAGCTGCGCAGGTTGCTGAGCCAGCTGCGCGCGCAATTGGTCGACAGGGGCGAGGACGGACTTGCTCGACTCGGGCAGGTTGGTGGTGATCGTCATCGTGGGGGACTTCCCGAGGTCTCTGGGCAGCTCCTCCTCCTCCCTCGCTCCTCCTCCTCCCTCGCTCCTCGTCCTCGTTCCTCTTCCTCCTTGCCCTCTTCCTCCTCATCCTCTTTCCCTCCTCCTCCTCCTCCTCCTCCTCCTCGTCTTCTCCTTCTCTTCGCCCGCACCTGGTTGGGCATGGGGTGAAAACATACTCGCCGCACTGCTTGATGAAGGCCTCGGACGCGTCATCCACATCGCCGAGGTCGAGTGGGAATTCCTGTCCGTCGGGTGCACCAGCTGGGGGGAGGGCCCGACGCTTGAGAGCAGGAAGGACGGGAACACCAGGCCGAGGAGCAGCAGCACGTTTGCCCGAACGGGAGGACGCCCTTGGACGCCACGGCGACGTCCACGGCCTCCTGCGAGGGGAAGGTGGCAAGGTGGCAGCCTCGTCATGATCGCTGATGAACTTGGCGATGATCTCATCACTGGGCAAGCCCATCTGCACAGCCCCGAGAGTGGGCGGAAGGCGCAACAGAGAGCCCGCCGAACCGCGACAGTGGTGTCAGCAGATGCCCCCTCGGCGACCCAAGAGGCTGCCACGTGTGGTGCAAACCTGAGAGGCAGGAGGCCTTGACCCAGTCCTCACGGCAAAGATCAAGCTCAAGCCGCCGAGGACCCGCGGTTCGACCTTGAGCCAAAACGGCTACGAGAAGGAGGTGAGAGGAGGAGGGGGAGGAGCAGGAGGAGGCGGAGGAAAAGGAGGAAAGAAGGGACAGGTGGAGAGGAGGAGAACAAAAGGTGGGGCTGAGAGGAGAGGAGAAGAGAGCAACAAATGATGAGGAGGAGAATCAGGTGGTGGTAAGACGGGGGAGAGAGAATGAGGAGCAAAACGACACACACGGACGCCCGCTAGTCTGCCGTCCTTGTCCAGACTCGCCAGCGCTTGCTCCGCGGCATCCAGGCTCGGCAAACTCGGCTGGGCCACACGGGACCCCCTGGGAGGGTCGTCGTGTCGTCGTCGTGCGCGTCGTCGCCCCCGCTGCCGAGGCAAGCCGTGGACGTCATTCCTCGCCGTCGCTGCCGACTTCGCCGGCCTCGCCGCTGCCGCCACCGCGCTCGGCGCGCCGGGGCCGCCGCCGCCGTTGTGGGCGCTGCCGATGTCGACGCGGCCGTCGCTCCGTCGTCGCCGCGGTCGTCGTCGTGGACGTCCGAGTGGATGTCGTTGTCGCTGGAAGCCTCCCCGACGCCGTCGTCCATCGTCTGGTCGTCGATGCGGCCGTCGCTCCGTCGTCGCCGCGGTCGTCGTCGTGGACGTCCGAGGGGATATCGTTGTCGCTGGGAACCCACCCCCACGCCGTCGTCCGCCGTGCGGTGGCCGCCGCCGCCGCCGCCGCCGCCGCCGCCGTGGGCGGCGCCGTGGCCCTCGGCCGGCCCAGGAGACCCCCAAGGTATGCCGAGAGGAGCCCGAGGTCCCCAGGAGGCCCCAGAGAAGGTCTCCCCTCCAGGCGGCCGCCCGAGCGCACGGGCGGGATCCTGCGGATACGTATATCTATATGTGCACAGGTACAATTTTTCTTTATATATATAATAAATATAAATATACATATTTTTATATATATATATATATATCGATATCTATATCGATATATATATATATATATGTGTGTGTGTGTATCCACCGGTTCCCTCCGGGGGCGCAAGGCTGCGAAGGTGTGTGCGGTCTGCTGTCGTGTGTTATGTGTTGTCACTTGTTGTTCGGCCTCCTGTCTTTCCAATCCTGTTTCCTGCCTCCTGTTTACTCTGTAGGAGGCCCCGCCGCGCCACCAAACAGCCAACGGGGGGGAGCACCAAATCCTGGCTGCTCCGGGCCACCCCAGGATTCTCATGGTGACGCCACCCCGCGGCCAGAACGGCCCGAGAGACCTCCAAGATTGCCCGAATAGGCCCCGAAGAAAGCCTCACGAGGCCAAGACGGCCCAAGATAGCCCCAAGATGTCCCACGATGGCCCCAAGACGGCCCGAGATGCTCCCAAGACGGCCCAAGAGGCCTCCAAGAGGCCTCCCAATAGGGGCCCACGAACCACAAGTCAACGGTTTTCCATACGTTTTTGAAGGTTTTCGGCCTTCTCGCGTTTTCGGCTTTCTGACGTTCCGAAGACCCAGAGGTTCCCAAGATTGTCCCACGATGACCATAGAAGCCCCCATGACGGCCCAAGAGGCCCCCAAGACGGCCAAAGAGGGCCCCAAGACGGTCCAAGAGGCGCCCCAGAGAGGCCCAAGAGGGAGCCCACGAACCGCACACTCGACCCTTCCGCCGCGAATGGACCCCAGGAGGCCCCAAGAATGCCCCAAGAGGCCCCAAGAGGCCCCCAAGAGGCCCCCAAGAGGCCCCCAAGAGACCCCCAAGAGGCCCCAAGGAGACCCCCAAGAGATCCAACAGATGCCTCAAGAGGCTCGAAGCTTCAACCCTCGCTCCCGAGGAGTTCCTCAGGTGACAAGACCCCAAAATCCCACCAGCCCTTTGGGCGTGAGTGGTTTAGAGAGCCCGCTCTGTCCTCAACCCCCCTTCTTCCCCTTCGGGGAGGGGTTTACCCCTCCCCCTACCCCCGCCCCCTGGACCTGAACAGGGGGCCCGGCGAGTCGTCAGGGGGGTCAATTTCGACTCCTGGGAGGGCCAAAAAACGACGACCCTCACGAGGATTCTGGCCCCGACGGGGGGACGGAGATAGGCCCCTCTGCTCTTCTTTGAAGCCAAAATCATTGATTTTACTATGGTGTTGGCCCCATTTTGGCGTCCTGAGGGGGCCGCGCTCATCTTCCTTCATAGCAAAATCATCGATTTTACGAAGGTTTTGGGCTCATTTTGTCCTTCTCGAGGGGCAACTCTCATTTACGCTTCTGAGGAGGTCGCAAGAGGCCCCAAGATGGCCCCAAGAGGCCCCCAGGAGGCTCCCAAGATGCCTCCAAGAGGCCCCCAAGAGGCCCCCAAGCGGCCCCAAGAGGCCCCCAAGAGGCCCAAGAGGCCCCCAAGAGGCCTCAAGAGGCCCCAAGAGGCCCCCAAGAAGCTCCCCAGAGGCGCCCAAGAGGCCCCCAAGAGGCCCCAAGAGGCTCCAAGAGGCCCCCAAGAGGCCCCACGAGGAGCCCGAACGACTCACACCAGGACGAGGGGCCCGAACGACTCACACCACGAAGAGCCCCAACGACTCACACCACAAGGAGGGGCCCGAACGACTCACACCAGGACGAGGCGCCCGAACGACTCACACCACGAGGAGCCCGAAGGACTCACACCACGACGCGGGCCCCGAACGACTCACACTACTACTACTTCTACCTCTACTATTACTACTTCTACGCATGGTGCTACGGCCACTACTACTACCAGTACTAGGAAGGAGGAACAGGGGAGATATGCGGGGCCAAGCGGACACACGCCTGAAAAACACGACTGTCGGCATGCTTCGCGAGAGCTGCTGCTGTGAGATGGGCTGGTGGGGATACGCGAAGCGTGAAGAATTCTCAAATCTCTCGGGGCTTCCCGCTGCCCGTCGCTGCCCGGCGCGGTGTGCCGCAGGACTCTTTCGGATCAGCGACGGGCCCGAGACGGACCAGGAAAACTCCAGGAGGCGTCCAAGATCTGGCCATCGCTCGGACGTCCATTTCCTGTTTTTTTGTTGGTTTCGTGCGTGGTTGTTTCGCCAAGTGGTCGAGGATGCGCCTCGAAGGTCCTCGCCGAGAAAAAAATGCACACGTCCGAGCGATGCCAAGAGATGGCCCACGAGGGTTCCGATGCGCAGCAAGATCGCCCCGAAGCGCCCCAAAAAGCCCTCCCCCCCTCCGCCTCATCGCCCGCCCACCCCCTTCCAGTCATCCTTTGAATCCAACAACCGCCTGAACAAGGACCCACGACGCTACCAGCGCAGCCACCCGCACTAGAAAATAGGGGGCCAGCGGCAGAAGGCGAAACCAGTGTATATTTCTATAGATTGAGAGGTGTATCGTCTCTAACGCATCATATGCATACACACATACACATACATACATATATATATATATATATACATATATATAAATATATGTGTACATGGATGTGTGCCCGTATAGGTTCAGGACAGGCATGTGCAAACTTATGCATGTACACCTACACATGTATACAATACTGCGTACATGTATCTGCACATGTCTACGAAAGAGGCTAATGTGGGGTGGGGGTGTATATACGTATATACATATACATGTGAATATGGCGATGTCTATATGTATGTATATCGGATGTTGGGGGGGGATCGACGTGAAACGGAAACCTAAAGGAAATGAGTTAGGTTTCGGTTTCGTGTTATTCCCGAGCGAGAGAAGCAAAGCTGCGCGCGCGGGCGAAAGGAGTGTTCGCGCTGTTGGTGAGGCTGTTGCTCCACCGAAATTAGAGCGCAAATTTCTCCCCCGTCCAATTGGCGGATTTGGGCTCGGTGGTTGTCCCCCGGCTGTCCCGTGGTGGTCCCGATGCTTGCCTCGCGATTATCCCGTGGTTGCCCTGTGGTTGGCCAGATGGTTGTCCGAAACGTTGTCCAAAAGGTTGCCCCGATGATCGTCCCGAACCATGTCCGCATGATTGTCCTGATGGTTGTCTGGACGGCTGTCCTAGTGATTGTCCCGATGGTTGTTCCGATGCTTGTTCTCGGTATATGTCACGATGGTTGGCCCGATGGCTGTCCCCATGGTTGTCCCGATGGTTGTCCCAATGGCTGTTGTCCTGATGGTTGTCCTGATGTTTGTCCCGATGATTATCCCGATGATTGTCCCAATGGCTGTCCTGATGGTTGTGCCTATGACTGTCCGGATGGTTGTCCCGATCCCGATGGTGCCATCGAAGGTTGTCCCGATGGTTGTCCCGCCTGGCGTCTGCCATAAAAAAAACACTGCGTTTGGGGTCTCCGGAGCCTCGATAGGTTGACCAACCTGCAACGGACGACAGCACTGTGTTCTTATGGCTGTCTCGATTGTAGGTAGTGAGGTCGGCGCCTCTGTGTACTGCAATCGAGCTATTGACAGGGAGGTGGGTAGAGACATCGATGATACTACTGGTGGTGCACAAGGCAGATGGCAGGATCGATATGTCGACAGGCAGCGGGTTGATACATAGGTGCATATACCGGCAATGAAAGTGGTGAGAATAACCCGACGAATAAAAAGCGATATTGACAACGACAACGATATTACTAACATTATGCAGGTCGCTATTAAGATCGGTAGATCGCTCCATCAAGGCATTAGCTTGACAAACAGAAACGGATAAGTGTATATATATACATATATATATATCTATATATATATATATATATATCACAAGACAGAGAGAAATGGAGACAACACAAAAAAATGATATATAGAGAGATAAATAGAGAACTGACCATATACAAATAATTTACGTAGCGCATATATATATATATATATGTATATTATTGTGTTTGCATGGATATATCACTGGTTTGGCATATCGTGAGCTCGATACGTAACACCTGATGTTGGTAATGACGCCCGAAGGCCAGGCAATTTGACCTATCGACACACGGAAAGGTTGTATTATGGAAGGGTACATGATGAGGCCGGCAAGTGGTGAGACCGATAATGGTTTTTGGATGAATGGGGACGGTTGTTGCGAAAAGTGTCCCGTCGTTGGCTCCCTCGCCCGAACCTCCTTATCGGCCTCTGGCTGGTCTGTTATCCCCCTCACCTCCTAGGGGCGCGCCGTGCCCCTCCCTTCCCCCTGTCGCTCCCGCTGCGACACTCAGACCTCCTCGTTCGTCCCCCTTTCCCTCCCTCCCTCCCTCCCTCCAGCTCCTCCGTCGCCCCCTCCCTCGGCCCAAATTCGTTCCTCGTTCCCTTCGTGCGCTCCCTCCAGCTCCTCATGGTGCGCTTGGCGCAAGATCAGCCCAGCTGGCCGACGTGACGATCAAGCACGGAATCTGGCAGTCCATGCACCAATACTCACTCGACG